ACGGCTCCTTTAGGAGCCACCAAATGTTAAGAAAGTCAGTCATTAACGTAATACGAGCTCAAATGAAAATGTTTCTCTTAATATCAACTATGATGGTTTCGATTTGGTTAGAGTTTTCCTTGTGTATAAGGTCTATTTTTTAACTGACCGCGCGACCTGTTTCTTGACCAGGCGAAACAAAATGTAACAAATTAGATGAAAGAGCGCAGCAAACATGAGTCATCGATAGGACGGGTAGGGAAGCGAAGAGTATTGTTCATGATTTCCTTTACAACGTGTTACATAAGAATTATAACTTTGAAAAACTAGAATTTTTTTTTAACTTATCGCCAATAAGTTCTCGATCACCTGGATCGTGATCGATCTACAATAGATCTCCGGATTTTGAAGCTTTTCTTTGCGGCCAATGCACTCGACGCGGCGGGTTCTTTGACGGAAATATATGCTAGTGGTTATTGAATGAGCTGCGAGACACAGACGGCCCGAAAAGAACCGAGTAGTAAAGTCAGACATTCACTTGAGCCCATTCTATCATTGTCACTCAGTGCACCTCAACTTTCAAAACATAAAAAGATCGAGAGCTAGCCTGCGAAGCTAATGGTCTTGTGTGTGCTTAAAGCGTTCGTGATTAGTCCCAAATCCTCGGCTTGTTTTTATTCTTCAAAGCACAAATGCCGCAAGCTACATGTGATACTCGTCAAAGTTGGAGTTTCAAGAAAACAGGAAACTTTGAAAGCTTCAAGGAAAGACTGACGACTTTGCTTAGCCTGGAGATATTCCCCAGAGATCGATAGTCGCTCAGAGCGATAAAAAAAGAGGCAGTTTATTGAGAAAACCTCCCTGCTTTGCCTGAGGGAACACGATGCGTGACGAGGTTAACATCGCTATGTACTTAGTGTATCTGTCATGGACTGTCTGTAGGAAAATTGTCACAAATAAACAAGGACAGATTCAGGCACCCATTCTAAATCGATGCGTAACATTACTACGCACTTATGCATCCCTATAGCAGCGATATCCTCATAAAACTTAATT